ACATTGTAAATTGTTTTAAATTCATCAAATTAAACTAAATAACCAACGAATGAACAACCCAAAACATCGTGGAAAACATGGAAGCACTGGATAAGCATTTCGTTCTATTGTGGGACTCCTCAGAAGTGCGCATCCACGATCCCACCTCGCGAGATTCGAACCCAGGGCCTATCAGTTTTAGTGAGAAGCAGTAACCAGTGAAGTTCAACCAGGTCTGTTGGGAGATATCAACTCACTGAACACATTGGTGAATGGTTGCTCGATTTCGTGGATTGATTGAAGTTAGACATTAACACCGTTGGATGCCGGCAGGCTCAGTGGTCTATCGGTTAAGCGCTCTAGTGCGAGACTGGTAGGTCTTGGGTCCGAATCTCCCGAGGTGGAATCGTGGATGCGCATTGCTTAAGAGTCCCATAATAGGACGAAACGGCCATGCAGTGCTATCAGGAATTAAATGGTGGTCTAGCTTCAATTGACTCATGATCTCAACTATATAAAATTACTAAAATCTCCACAAAACCCCCTTCTGATAAGAATCTACAATGAACGAAAAAATTAATCGTTTTAAATGATGATAATCAGTGAATAAGTAATCAGAATTTATTTGTAAACCAATATATCATACTGTAGTGAATGAGAATACAAGTGGGGACAATCGAATACATTTGAACACAACATTACAGAACATCTTAGGGAAACCTGAAAACCATACAGTAAATACTTAATTTTAAAATGTCAACCAATTGTCTCGAACTTATCTGTTCCTTTTGCAAATATCAGTCAGTCGTCTCATATTTCATTGTTCTTTTGTTTCTACAACAATCATCATTTGTTCTCATTCTCTTTTCGTTGATCTTCTTAACGCTCTGTCTCCAGACATTTCATTTTCGAGTGATGATGCCTACTACTTATATCTGTCGACATCAGTAGCATACACTACAATACGTCAAACAAAAGAAATATATTTGTAAGTATTGCTCACAACAAACTGAAATCTATTGTTAAATTATCAAAATCCTAATTAGTATCGGATAACTGTTTTGTTCGAACTCATGTTTCTTCAATGTTGTACAGATAACAATTCGCAAAATATTATACATCAGGACTTTTAGATCTTGTGTCAATAACAATTAATTCAATTCAATTAGCCATTAGTAAGTTGCTAGCTTACTTTTAAGTAATCTAATTCCATAAATAACAACTTTCTCTATGTTAGTTACTATTGAACCGCTCAAGACTACAAAGTTTTATAAAAATATGAATTGGTGGCCTGCTTGAACATCTAAGCTACCTGTTCCCGCCATCTAGATATTTCAAGTTATTTATTTAAACACATAAATATTGGTACAAGGAAGCACCAGATACATATGCGCCACACAAATCTCATTTGATTTGTGTGAGGACTGTGATACTTCCCAGGTGCCCAAACTGAACCACGTGGTTTTCTTAGAGAGACACACCCGGAGCCTTTGACCTAAAGGTCTAGTCCACAAGACAGTGGAGCATCGTGAGGAGATGCAGTCACATGGTAGCCGGTGACCAACGATTGGTTCATACGCCATTCGTTTTTTCAGGATCCTGGAGCCCATGTGCACCATTGGAATCAGGGTTTTCCAACTCCCCTAGGTGAATTTTCCGTGTTCACCAACCCGGTTAAAGAGTCGGACATTTGCTTTTCGTCCTCTCACTCTTGTGAACAACACCTTTGCCACGAGAAGGCAATGAGTAAGACTTCTGTGGCACAGGCTATATATTCGCGTGGCCATATGAGAGCATTTGGAGAGGGAGAACAGACTCTCCCCACTCTCGGCCGTATTTGGTGGTATATTTCAAGTTATCTCTCTTTGTTTTTTTTAACACATTATTATGACTATTAATCGCATAACCTATCCAGGTGCGTTTCTGTAAAGTGTATAACCTTTCGTTGTATAAACTAAAAAAGGCCTAATCAGAGATATCATGGTTGCTGGCAATATGCAACGAAACGAACGTACATTATTCAGATGTCAATTGACGGGACTGTTAACTTCTAACTGGCGATCAATCAATATTTGTCGTCAGGATCGATCAAGAAGTAAAAAACGAAAACTTGTTGAAATATTTTGTACTAAGAATTCTATATGATACCAAAAATATAATATTGAATAAAGCTAATAATAAATAAAATGAGACAACCGTCTTTTTCTTAAAAAAAAGTTAACAAAAACGTTTGTAAAAATGAATATTAGTACCCTAGAAACAAAGATTTACTGGAAATCCTTTAAAACAAACAAAAGTAAATTCAACTTAGTATTGTTTGTTTGAATCTTCCCATCGATTTGTTAGGACTGCAACTGGTCAGTCTCTAATTGGCATATGTGCATACTGTGTGTATTGCCTCGATATACCTTAATTCACAAGCATGGTTAGCAGAGATGGATAGTGGCTAGCAGTGGAATCCAGGACGCGCGTTTCGTCCTATTTGGGACTCGTCAGCTGGATGTACCTGCATCTCAGAGTTGATGTTCACTCTGGGACTCGAACCCAGTACCCTCGCTTCAAACGCCATCGCGTTATCCACTCGGCCACTGAGTCCTGATAGCCACTTGCTTGTGCGATGAGGTGAAGTTTAAATTCAACTTAGTATTGTTTGTTTGAATCTTCGAGGCAATACGCACAGTATGCACATATGCCAATTAGAGACTGACCAGTTGCAGTCCTAAAAAACATCAATAAGAAGATTCAAACAAACAATACTAGGTGAATTCAAACTTCACTTCATTGCACAAGCAAGTGGCTATCAGGACTCAGTGGCCGAGTGGATAACGCGATGGCGTTTGAAGAGAGGGTACTGGGTTCGAGTCCCAGAGTGAATATCAACTCTGAGATGCAGGTACATCCAGCTGACGAGTCCCAAATAGGACGAAACGCGCGTCCTGGATTCCACTGCTAGCCACTATCCATCTCTGCTAAACATAAGTAAAGTATAAAATCGATTTCATTTTAAAAATTGCTAAAAATATGTTTTATTACATCTAAAGAAAATATTCAGACAAGGTTATTATTTTTAATGTACAATTTATTTATGAAAATGTATATGAACACGAGATAAGTATTATAAACAAAGATGGATAGTGGCTAACAGAGGAATCCAGTTTGACACGCGTTTCGTCCTATTTGGGACTCATCAGCTGGATGTACCTGCATCTCAGAGTTAATGTTCACTCTGCGAGGTACTCGAACCCAGTACCTTTCAATTAGAACGCCGTCGCGTTATCCACTTGGTTGTTGTATACTAAAATTTGTAAAATGACAATTCAGTTAATATATTTATTTTGAAGATATAATTATTGTCTTGAAGTTAAATTTTATGATCAGAGGAAGAGCCAGTAGAAACAAACAATCATAGGATAACTTCGTTGTATTGGGTAGTCATCCGATTATGTCATCCATACTATTTATGCGCAAGCGCGACGCTTTATTTGAGTGAGAAAATAAGATATAATTAGGAAGTTTTATTGGTTAACCGAAAAGAAGTATGTACATAAGCTCATTCATAAATATAGATAAGGTTCTTACATAGATGAATCTAATCTCACCCAATAGAGCCCACATATCAAAATCTGTTACCTATTATTTTGCTTTGAGCTGGTATATCTGACTGGCCCATCCTATGTTATAACTTGTGCCGCCTGGATGCCCTATTAATGTAGAACGTGACAATATCGCAAACTAGAGAGCAGTGATTTATCGATCGGACCAACGACACACGAAACCCGTACGAGCAGTCTAGAGTACTTATTGGTCCTGCTGCTGTCTAGCCCAGTCAGTTAAGTCCAGAACACCAATCTCAGCCTCTGCGGTATGAATCATTATATTTCAAACATACTGAGTTTATATACCAAATCAAACAGACCACATCGTACCGTAAAATAGAAAATAAAATTTGTATAAGATTTAGCCGAATGTGGCTGTGAATAAGGGAGATAGTAAATGATAGACTGGGTTTAACCCAAGAACGGTAAACCATATTATGATAGTTCATAGGTCAAAATAAAGCTTATGATAAGAAGGACACGAATATGAATAGTTTAGTTAGTTAACAATTATACGATAAAAATATATGTACCATATTGGTCGATAAATAGTTCTCAAAACTTACCACTCATAATTCTTATCGGGACATAACACCCTAACAGTAATTCGTTTTTATTTGGGACACTGAAATAATGTGCAACTAACGTTCCAAAAAGCAACTATACAGTACACCTTTGATTTTCAATGGTTCTCTCAATAACGACATGGCGTAATGAAAAAAAGGAACTCCAGATTGAGCATTTTCAAACAACCCCAAGTTTTGTGATTAAAAACTCTTCCTAAAGATTTTAACCTCAAGTTTTACTCTTCAATTCATATATACAGTAAATATTTGTTTGTCTGAACTAATGATTGATATTTGGATGAAATTTTCTAAATTTAAAATTAAGTCAAAATATTCACACTTAAGAAGTCTTTTCTCAATCATTCCATTTAAATGCTTAGTCAATTAAAAGGATTGATATCCACACCTCCAAATCCGAAACTTTAACTTTAAGCAATCATTATCATAAAACTTTTAGAACTAATACAGATATTAGGCCTAAATTAGTGAAATATTCAGTTATTGAAACTGATAACAACAATTTAATACAGAATATGGCTAACAGTGAAAATATTGGACGCGTGTTTCGTCTAATTCGGTACTCGTTAGTTAGATTTACTTGCATCCCAAATTTCAAGCTCATCTAAAGAATCGAACTCAGTACCATTCACTTCAAACGCCAATGCGTTATCCAATTGGCTCTCGAGTCCAAATAGTTACTCACTTGTGCAACGGATAAGAATGTCTATTGAATGTGTTATGTTATGTTCGAATCCCGTTAGGCGGGGTCGAGGATGCGCACTGCTGAGGAGTCCCATAATAGGACGAAACGGCCGTCCAATACTTCCAGATTTTTCAAATAAATGAAAAAATAACCAATCAACATTTCGAATAAATATAATATTAAGTTTATTTTTTTTGTACACGTTCAATAGCAAAGAAGATAAAGAACGAATGTAAAAAGCAAAGTTAACGAAAATAAACAGGCATTACGTTGAAAGCAGAGAATATTATAATAGTATTACAATTTGACATATATATCTGTACTTGTCTGTCATATACAATATTTGTAAAATGAAAATAAAATACAATAAAAAGCATCACAGATTCATTCATTAAAATAAGTTGAATCAGAAGACAAAGTTATTGGAAAGAGAGAGAGAAAAGAACCTTCCAGAGAAGAAGAAGACTGAAACATTGGATCCAATATAAGGACCGTATATATATATTGAAACTATTGAAATCTGATCATTCATATTTATATAAATATATATGTGTATTTCATCGAATTGGGTTGGAGAATGCTGGTCGGCGACCTATGCTCCATTGGGAGTAACAGGCGTAAGTAAAGTAAGTGAAAAAATTTCATCGAATAATAATTGCTGCTTGTTTTATTCTAATAATAAAAGAGAGAACAAGATTTGTATTATTGATTAATTTGTAATTGTACTCGACGTATCAAGATTTGATGTACATGTTGTGTTTGATTCGTTAGCGTCTGAAGATGATGTGTTATGATTGATTTGATAGTTATATGAATGATTGGAACGTGATAAAACAACTTCAGAATAAGAAGGCGGAGAATTCGTGTTGACAGTAGTAGTACTATTAGTAGTAGTAATATTAGTATTAGGTGATGATGTTATATGCATTGATTCATGTTGTGATTGTTCAATTTCTACTGGATTTCCTATATTTGAAGTAGTAGTAGTAGTTATTAACGTTGATGTATTAACACATTGTTTAGCTAATAAATCAGTAGTAGATTGAATTTCTGAATAAGCTGGTGGTGGTTGAATCATATGCTTTAAACTAGAATAAGCGGGTGGTGGAGGTGTAGTACGAAATCCATCAGAATAGAGACCATTAGATCGTCCAAAATCTATAGAAAAAAAGTACAATGTTGATAAAGGAGGAAATTAAAAGTAGAAAGATTAAACAATACTGGCGCCAATGTATTTAATTAACCATAAATAAAAAAGACGCCCATATAATTCAGCATAACGAACAACCCATGCTAATATATAACAATAATGTTATGAGAACAAAAAGGAACATAGGCTCTAACATCGAATTGTGATCAGCTAGTGTATTATAAGGCCGGTTATATTGTTTAGTCCAATTACTGATTCATTCGCCTATATTGCCTGTAGGAGAGTTGACCTACTTATCAAATGACAGTGGCTAATGAACAACAAGAAAGACCTTAAAGCTTATTGGTCTTCCAGCTGCTAATCCAATGGTCCAGTCAGAAGACGAAGATATGAAGCAGATATGCCTCATAAATACCTAAGCGCACGGTAAGACGAATAGAAAATTACAATCTGTACACAACTCAGTCGTAAGTGATAGTAAACCGGAATAATAGGGAAAGGGAACTTATGGAAAAGTGTGCACATATGCCAATAAGAGACTGACCAGTTGCAGTTCTAAAAAACATCAATAAGAAGATTCAAACAAACAATACAAGGTGAATTCTAACTTCACCCATTGCACAAGCTAGTGGCTATCACGACTCAGTAGTTGAGTGGATAACGCGATGGCGTTTGAAGCGAAAGATACTGGGTTCGAGTCCCTCGCAGAGTGAACATCAACTCTGAGGTGCAGGTACATCCAGCTGACTAGTCTCAAATAGGACGAAACGTGCGTCAAACTGGATTCCACTGCTAGCCACTATTCATCTTTGCTTACAATAGGGAAATGATTAATTTATCATTGTTGAGAGCGTGAGTCTAGACCACAGTGTTTCCAGGTTTTCCATGGTGGTCTAGCTTCAATTGGCTCACGCTTTCAACAATGATAAATACTAAATCTCCACAAAACCCCTTCTATAAATGATTAATTATTGGTAAATCTGGAACAATAAGACATATAACAACGGTTTATGGATCGAATAAAAGCTTAGAAATAGGAAAACACGATCACAAATCCTCTTTGATGTAATAAATACATGATTGTAATGAATGTAACATATTCAAAACAAACTATTTGAAGATGATTTTACTAGTTCGACTTATTGAAAAAAATATATACATTCCAGTAACCGTACATAACTTTTTCTCTATTCGAGTTGTGACATAAACACAATTTGCTTGTGACAAAATTTACCTTCCAATTATTTAGTCTTACATCTGATGTCCTCAAATGCCCTGGTATGAACGAGAGTGGAGAGAGTCCGCTCTCCCTCTCCAAATGCTCTAACGTAGCCACGCGTATATAGCCTCTGCCACAGAAGTTTTACTCACTGCCTTCTCGTGGCATTACTGTTGTTTACGAAATTTAGAGAACAAAAAGCGAATGTCCGGTGCTTTAACCGGGTTGGTGGACACGGAAAGTTCACCTAGGGGACTTAGGAGGCTCTGATTCTAAACCAATAATGCATATGGGCTCCAGTATCCTGAGTGAACAAATGTCGTAAGAATCAATTGCTGGTCACCGGCTACCATGAGACTGCATCTCCTTATGTTGCTCTACTGTTTTGTGGATCAGGTCTTTAGGTCAAAGGCTCGGGGTGTGACCCCCTAAGAAAACCACGTGGTTCAGTTTGGGCACCTGGGCAGTATCACAGTCCTCACACAAATCAAATGAGATTTGTGCGACGCATATGTATCTGGTGCCCCTTTGTACCAATAGTTATGTGTTTAAATAAATAAATAAACATACGACTGATTGACGTTTGAACAATTCTTCTGGTTTGAGCAGAAATAATAAGACTTAATGTTAAATGTATAAACCAGTACTAATGATACGGTTGCGGAAATAAGTAGGACGGCCGTTCACTTAGTAACTGAGGCATTCGATTTTCAAATCCGTCCAATCTACTAGACTCTAAATAACTAAACAGTAACACCAACCTGAAACGAACACATATTCAAAGTGCAGTTCAAAAAACTGAAAGTTACGACATCAATAGAATGGATCCCTAGACGTTGTTTCATTATTTTGTGAAGTAAAGTCTTGATTGTTAAGAGTAGATAAACTTAGCAATAATAAAATTGGGTGATGGATGTATTATATCACAAAAAATGGATGTGACATAGAATCTATAGCTGTGTCATAGTCTGTTCAGTACGAAAACTGAACGTTAATTAACAAACTATGGCGAAAAACAGATAGTGCGGTGGGGGCTTAGTAACTGAAGCACTCGAGTCTCAACAGGTTAGTTTTACCCCATTTCACATATCTAAGTTTGGCCTCTCGGCTGATATTACTATTAGTCTTCATACAAAACTAGAGTAATCCAAAGCTATAATCGCGAACTCCCATATGGCAAATGAGTAAAAACAGTGATGTCGTGTACCCTCTTCATATCCGAAACTATTCACTTATCAGAAAGTAATCAATTCAAAGATTACAAATGAAACACTGTTACTATTTTAAACAATTTGATATCGTTACTTAGGCATGAAGAATTTTAAATGATAGGACTAAATCATGGTGATAATGACTAACTAAAATGAAATCAAAATTGTTTAATGAATAACGACACCAATTCGCTTGAAAGAAATACAAAGTCAAATTAATGTGATATGACATAAATTGTTACAAAATAATACTTTATTAAACAATGACTTACTTTTTTGGGTTGTTTGTGGAGATTTTTAGTAATTTTTTATATATGGTTGAAATCATGAGTCAATTGAAGCTAGACCACCATAGAAAACCTGGAAACACTGCTTTAAGGCCATCTCGTCCTATTGTGGGACTCCTCAGCAGTGCGCATCCACGATCCCACCTCATGAAATTCGAATCCAGAACCTATCAGTCTTATACCAGAGCGCTTAACCGATAGACCACTGAGCCCGCATCCAACGGTGTTAATGTTTAACTTCAACTAATCCACGAATTTGAGCAACCATTCACCAATATCTTCAGTGAGTTCATATCTCCCAACAGACCTGATTGAAATGACCGTCCAGTGCTTTCAGGTTTGCCATGGTGGTCTAGCTTGTTAGTTTTTGTTTGAATACCGACTTTTTAATATAAATAAGCATTTTTTTTCGGAAAATTAAAAACTATGATATTGAATTGTATACTTGATACTGAAGTACTTCAATTATGGATTGTTAACATTTTCGCACACTATTTCAGGCATTTTGTTACTGTTGAACATTGAAGTTTATAACTCAATGAAACAATTTGTGGTTATTGAGACCATGAACCGTACACTGATAAACCACTGTCGAAAACCTATAAGTACCGGACGGCCGTTTAATCCCAGTATGGAACTCCTCAGCAGTGCTCATCTGCGATCTCTTACGAAGGATTCGAATTCAGAACCATCGGTCTAAGGTGAGAACGCTTAACCTCTAGACCACTGAGCCGGCATTCAACAGTGTTAATATCTAACTTCAACCAATCCACAAAGTTAGGCGTTCATCAGCGAGATCGATGGTACTGGGTTCGGATCCCGCATGCGCATTGTTGAGTAGCCCCATTGTAGGACGAAACGACCATCAAGTGTTTTCAGGTTTTCAATGGTCGTGATTTAACATTTATCGGTTCATGATCTCAATCACAACTTAACAATCTTTACAACTCTATGCGATAGTAAACGAATGAAATGGTTTAATAGTGAAAATATTAAATCAAACGTTTTCATTATGAATATCGAAGCATCTCTTACACATCTCTTACAATTTATCATATGAATATAAAAATATGATTGGTTGTTGTTAGCAACTATCTTATTCCTTATATTTTCCTTTTCATCTTATATCATTTCAATATTCCAACTTTATATTTGTTTATTATTATTTCTTTTTGTACAAACACTAACAAATTTAGTCTAATTTAATGTTTATTGATTGATGAATAAATTGAGTCTAATGGTTGTATAATAAAGAGAGAGGGGAAATTACCAGAAGAAAAAAAAGGATATCATCCTTATATTGATTGAAGTAAGAAGGGTGTATCAAAATTGTAAGCAATACATGTTTTGTATTGCCTTATGCCATTTAATCATTACAATTATTGGATATAAATATTTTCGACAATTTGTTAATGTTAAAACTACTATTAAATGGAAAATAATTTGAAACTTTGTACATTGGTAAGCAGAGATAGATAGTGGATAGCAATGGGATCCAGTTTCACACGCGTTTCGTCCTATTTGGGACTCGTCAGCTGGATGTACCTGCATCTCAGAGTTGATGTTCACTCTGGGACGAGTCCCGAATAGAACGAAATGCGCGTCAAACTGGATCCCATTGCTATCCACTATCTATCTCTGCTTACCATGCTTGTGAATTAAGGCTATATCGAGGCAATACGCACAGTATGCACGTATGCCAATTAGAGACTGATCGATTGCAGTCTCAACACATTGATGGGATGATTCAAACAAACAATACTAAATGAGTTTGTACATTGGTATTCACAAGATTATAAGTCATACTTAAAACATTGGTTGTTGTGAACGCGTTTGATTAGTTAAATTGCAAAAACAAAACAGATTAGTTCAAGTATCTTTTTTTACCGAGTTGGATTAGGTTGCATCGGCATCTGAACTAACGATAGGGAGTGAAGTAGTTGAGTATGTTGACCGCTTCACTTATCTTGAGAGTCTCATCAGCCCTTGTGGTCTGGTATGTGACGAAATCTCAGCACGGATACAGAAGGCTCGACAAGCTTTCGCAAACTTGCGTCATTTATGGCGTAGGAGAGATATCCGTCAAGCAACAAAAGGACGGGTTTACTGTGCAGCAGTCCGTTCCGTCCTACTTTATGGCAGTGAAACATGACCGATAAGAGTAGAGGATATTCGTAGGCTACTAGTGTTCGATCATAGGTGTCTTCGAAGCATTGCTCGTATATCCTGGGACCACCGGGTAAGTAATGCAGTTGTTAGGAAACGAGTACCAGGTAGGGATGGCAAATCGATTGATGAAGTAGTGAAACTTCATCAGTTGAGATGGCTGGGACATGTGTTACGTATGCCCGACCACCGACTGCCCCGACGTACAATGTTTCATGGTGTAGGAGAAGGTTGGAAGAAAGCTAGGGGCAGCCAGATTAAAACGTGGAACAAATCCATGAAGTCACTGACAAGTGGACTGAGCCATGTTGGTAGGTGTAGACTACCTGGTTGGGATTCGCGAGATGATAGCAATCGATGGTTAGAGACCATTAATGACATGGCTCAAAATCGTTTGCAATGGCAAGGGTGCATCCACTCTTTGTGTTCTACCAAATTCTAATTTTCTGAATTCTTCATGTCCGTATTCTTTTTCTCTTTCCAAATTTATTTCACCGTATTATACTCCTTCAATAACATCTTCAAACCCTTATCTTTCACATTAATGCTTATACTCTTACTACTTCTACCACTATGGGATTTGAATCGACAACTGCATCTCTGTGCTAATGAGGTATGACAACTACAACTGATGTACGTACGTACGAAGTTCTACGTTGTGACTGACTGACTTTTACCGAGTTGAGAAATCTTGATTCTAAAATTTGAGAGTGACACATTCTTGTATAAATTTGTAAGTAAGCATTTGGGGAATAGGATAAATATAATGCATTGTGATATATCAATCATGGTCTATGCTAAATTTCAAACACAATGAGTGAGAAGTATGGTAAAAATAATTCGTAACCATACTAGGATAGAATAATCTTAAGTTAAACAGTTGAGAAGAGATATATTACCTACGCAAAAAACTGCTTGTCTCAACGTACAATATTACCTGGTGTAGGAGTAAGTTGAGAAATAAATAAGGACAACTAGATCAAGATATGACACCAGTTCATGAAATCATAAACTTTTGGGCTGAGCAAATTATCAGATCGGAGTATACGTGATTGTCATAACTAATAGTTTGAGATATTGTGTGACAGCTTGGAATGGGTTACAATGACCTACATCTACTCAGTCTGTCTGATTTTAGATCTCGAGATTTAAAATTACCATGTACTTTCTATTGTGCTAATTTATTTTTCTTTCCCGAGTCATATTATCTATGTTTAATCTTTTCCGTCACCATTAGTATTGATATTAGTTCTATTACTCTGGCACTTGTTTTATTAATCTCATCTAGCAAGAATGATGTGATGTGGCAACTTGAACCGATGCACATAAGTGTCACATTTGTAGACTGTTTAACTAATTGACTAGATGAATCAGGAAGATCAAGTCGTTCTACATACGTCGAACTATAATTTAATAGATACACACTAATATCATAGATTGATCTAACGAGTATGAAGGTTATTCTATTACGTTTTTTCACTACTGATAAATATTCTACGTTGGACACTACTGACATCAAATCCCTAAAGTTTTCCTGTTCTACAGAAACATTTAACCATGAATCTCATCAATAAAATACAAGATATATGGAAGTACTATACTTTGAGGGTGAATTTATGTATGTATTCTAGAAGCAAGAAAAAACGATGGTAAGATTGATTTTTTTAAAACAAGAGGTACTTGCCTAGTCACAATAAAGGTGCCCCCGAATGCCCTGGTACGGCCAAGAGTGGGAAGAGTCCGCTCTCCCGCTCCAAATGCTCACACATGGCCACACGAATATATAACCTCTGACAGGGAAGTCCTACTCACTGCCTTTTCCTAGCGGAGGTGTTGTTTACGAAATTGAGAGGACGAAAAGCGAATGTCTGGCGCTTTAAACGGGTTGGTGGATATGGAGGGTCCACATAGAGGAGTTGGAAAACCCTCATTCCAAACCAATGGACTCCAGTATCCTGAGGGATCAAACGGCGTATGAATCAATCGTTGGTCACTGGATACCATGGGATTGCATCTCCTCACGATGCTCCACTGCCTTGTGGATCAGACCTTTAGGTCAAAGGCTCTGGGTGTGGCCATCTAAGAGAACCACCTGGTTCAGTTTGGACACCTGGGCAGTATCACAGCCCTCACACAAATCTCATTCGATTTGTGTGGTGCATATTCATCTGGTGCTTCCTTGTACCAATATTTATGTGTTTAAATAAATAATAGTAAAACACAATAAAGAAATAATAACTATTCATCTTTTGAAAATTTTTCTAGAGGCTTTCAAATACTACTGATTAATCAAGGTTACTACTTTAAAATCATCACTCAAAGGTCATCATCCATAAATTGTAGTCACACTCGCAAAAAACTTATTTTAAGGAATTAAAAAATGCAATGTATTGAACTACTTTTCTTTTATCAAAGTATTATTGTGTTGTCAGTTAAAGTTGATGTTCATTGATTCGTAAAATGATACTTTTCATTTTCAGAAGGGGTTTTTGTGGTCAGTCAGCTACAACGTAGGACCAGGCACATATATGCATCGGTCCAAGTTGCCATACCTCGTTAGCACAACAAGATGAACACTGGATTCATAGAAGTGGAGATTTTAGTAATTTTATATAGTTCAGATCATGAGTCAATTGAAGTTAGACCACCAAGGAAAACCTGGAAGCACTGCTTTAAGGCCGTTTTGTCCTATTGTGGGACTCCTCAGCAGTGCGCATCAACGATCCCGTCTCGCGAGATTCGAACCCAGGACCTATCAGTCTCGCGCGCAAGCGCTTGACCACTAGACAACTGAGCCGACATCCAACGGTGTTAATGTCTAACTTCAACCAATCCACGAGTTTGAGCAACCATTCACCGATGTCTTCAGTGAGTTGATATCTACCAAAAGATCCTTTTTTATCAATACATTATACTCATGATAATGATAATAATCTTTGTACTCACAAATATATGAAGTAATAATAGTAAATTGCTATGCTAAATAAAGTTTGTTCACTCATATTAGTAAAATTTTGATTATTCAGTTAGACCACTTGTTAGTTTCTTTTTTGGTGACCTATATAATATATATAATCAGTATACTTCCCAATGAAGCAATGATTGACACAGCATGAATGAAATTGAACCTTAAATTGTTGGTTGATTTAAACATTATACTATAATGAATGTAATTGATTGAATATTACGTTCTATTTGTTCAGCTGTTAACCGAGTTTAAAAAAATTTAACATATGCTCAATTTTTCTGTTACACCTGGAACTTGAAATTTTTATTATACCGCGTACAATTTAAACACTCGAACGCTTGAACCTTCCCAAGTCGTAAGTTAGAAGAAGATGGGGGGGGAAGAAATCTTATTCCAACCAGTTAAATATGGTACAAAACACTGGGGTATTTATAGTTTTTAGTAAAAACGAAATCATTATTAAAATCATTTAATCTGCATGCGGTTGTTTTTAGCACTTATCCAATCGGGAAGCTATAAGCCGAGATTCTGGGATGTTCTTTGAAACAATGATTGGGTGGAATGTTTCCAGCTCTTTCAGAGCCTCTTGGTGCTTCCTTGAGTTCACCAGAAGATGTCCTCACATTTACCATGCACAGCTTACTGATTTACTTGTGTAAACTTATATTCTGGATTTGATTTCAGGCGAGATGACGTTGTAAAGTCTCCTCGAACGTTTAGGGTGGTTCTTTAGTGGTTAAAATTTAGTATAAGTCATTCGGTGTTAAAGATATATATAATACAAAATTTAGACTTTTTATTTATCCAGTGACAAGCTTGTAAGTTGATGGTAATGAGCAAGTAATTTAAGTACCGGGAGCACAAGGAGGTCAGTATTGGTTATCGAATCATAACAGAAAACGAAACATTTGTCTAGGTTTTTGGTTGAGTTCTAGTAAGAGTAATAGAGTCCAATCATGTTGAACACTAAGTAGTTAACCATCAACGACTAATAGAGTTGAAAAATGATTATTCAATATGTTGAATCGATTGTATTTAGAAATGTAAACTATTAAATGAAGACTAACTGATCTAAAGGCTAACAAGATCGGAGGGTTTAAGGTTCAATCCTCAATAAGATAGTGAATGTATACTGTTGAAGAATCCCATAAAACGACGAAGTAAATCTCTCCTATTTCCTACTTTTCGATGGTTGTTTCATGAAAATCAACTCATGATGTAAATTATAGAAGAGCAGATCTAACCTATTTCTTATCCAATACTGTAAGATTGATACAATAAAAAAATGATAATTAGAATTTTAACTAAAAACAAAGTACTACAAAAGAGAATAGAAATAATCAACTAAATATAACATACATGAAGAAAGATTACACCAATTTGAATTGGACATATTATTTGTACTTTCTATACCATGTATACTATTTGAACGATATGATCTTGTTTCCCATAAATTAAATGGTGAAGATAATCCACTAGTTCGAATACGTCCAGTACGTGATGAACGTGTATGATGATAATGCTGTCTATTTGTTGTTGTATAAGTAAGATCAGATAATGAACAATATGGACGTGTATTCAAATTATTACGACGTAAATATGCTCTACGACCAACTAAACTTAACCATGTTAATAAACAAAAACATGCTAAAAGCATAGCTGGTATTTTAAACCATGAATAAGCAGTTTTACATGGTCGACATAAACATGGATCAAGAAAATATTCACTAAAATACCAAAAAACAAAAAAAGGGAAAGATATTGATTAATAATAACATATGTGGTAAACATTATGTAATCATGATATTAACAGGATACAATAGTCTATTTACTAGTTTTATTGTCTGAACATAATAGTTTATCCGTGAGGTTTTCGTTAGCTTTTTAAATGACAACAACAAATTCACTTAGTATTACTTGTTTGAATCTTCCCATTGATGTTTACGACTGAAACTGGTCAGTCTCTAATTGGCATACTGTGCGTATTGCCTCGATATAGCCTTATTTCACAAGCATTGTAAGCAAAGATGGATAGTGGCTAGCAGTGGAATCCAGTTTGACGTGCGTTTCGTCCCATTTGGGACTCGTCATGGATGTACATGAATCTCAGAGTTGATGTTCACTCTGGGAGTCGAACCTGGTACCTTTCGCTTCAAACGCCATCGCGTTATCCACTCAGCTACTGAGTCCTGATAGCCACTTGCTTGTGCAATGACGAGTTTCAAATAGGACGGAGTGAGCGTCCTGGATTCCACTGCTAGCCACTATCCATCATTGCTTACGACAACAACAAATGTTGAGATTTTGGATAGAAAGAATAAAAAAAGATCAGAGAATTTTTAAAAGCTTAAGACTCAGGTCAGTTGGCAATTAATAAAAGAAATTACACTTACTAACTAATCCGAAAAATCATGGATGAATATAAGATAAAGAACCAGGTCATAAAAATAAATTTGAAGGCGTTTCATTGAAATCATAAACTGATCAGTATTAGAGCATCATTGAAAATCTAGAACCACTGAACGACTGACGTAACCTGATATGAGACTCCTCAGGAGTGTGCACCCACGACCCCTTTCGACAGGGACTCGGACTCAAGACCTTCGGTCTCTCGCATGAACCCCTAACCCTTAGACCACTGACCTTTTAAATCTTTGGATTCTATAAAAAGGATTAATGTCAAACAGAATTACTTCCGGTTAGTAATACAGTAATCACGGGAACACATTTATATACCGTAAAAACTAATCACATAAACTATTGAAGGGATCTACCATAAAATATAGACGCATACAACTCTGGTGGATAGAAAGTAATTTAAACGAATGATTTTTTTCCTGATTTAAGTCTCACACACTGGAAACTATAGTTTTGTAGACTGAATGAAGAGAACTGACCTTATCAAATAGAAAGAAGGCGGAAGTTGACTTAAACATATTACTTGGTTTCTAATTTACATTTCGTAACTAAACAATTCAACTAATCACACTTTATATAACCATCATTATAGTCTAGGAAGATTTCGGGTTTACGGTCTGTTTGTGTACCATGTGCATTTTTTCTCTAAATAACATTATAATCTTACTATTATATTTACAACATTATATTTTTATACTTCAGACCGTTGACTTTATAGTTAGGGCAACAGAATTTTTATTAATACATTACAAGTTTGAAACCCCACTGTATCGATTTCAATTACAGCGGTCGAACATAAGCAACTCAGAACTAACATACAAGTGCATCGGATGAAGTTTTCACACCGTTTACCAGCGCGATACGAAATCATCAAGAAAAATGCCAGAGTGGTAGTAGTAGAAGCAGTTAGTCATAGACAATACGATTTTAGAAGTGTGGATTCACTTAATAGAAATTAAAAACAATTCCAAAGTTGAACAGTTTAAGAGAGACAGACAGTAAATGTATCTGCAATATTGTAACCAATTTTGAGTCATGTCAATCAACGTTTCTAAGCATAGATTAAGATAATAGCATAAACCTTAACCAAGCAGTCAGCGCCTACCTATATGACAGAGTTTAACGATAAACGACTTTATAAACTGATACTACATTCTGACTTGGCTGTCTCTAGTTTTCTCCCAACTTACTCCTACACTAGCCCACACTGTAGGACGAGGTGTTAGGAAGTGGTTGGATGGTATGTATGTAATACTTTTAATGGTATTCGTGATCACTGTATTCGCTTAAGTTTGAGTAGTCAATTAACAATCATAAGCGTAGCCCACATTCGAATACATAGACTTGTATTTGGTAAATAGGTTCAATTTTTACAGATTACAAATATAGGGATTGAAGTTATATTTGTGCATGTTGTAACAGTATTTTTCGCGTAAGCTCTGTGATCTACCATCACCATCAATATCACATGTAAAGCAGCTTGTTTCAGCTATCTGTAGCCAAAACCAAACTTCACTCCTACACAAATAACTATAAATTGAAAAGTCAAGTAGCAAGCCACTAACAATGTACCGGACACTACAAGATTGACATATATATGTAGGCAACCAATGGTTAGATCAATTCATTTTAAGTATTCTGTGCTTGATAATTTAAGGCGAAAATAGAAACTAAACAAATAAATGGGTATTAGGTACGTATGTTATGCGAAAACCCCATCTGGTAAACATTTTACAATGAGAGAGTATGAAAAGTAGGATTTTGATAGAGGGATCTAATTGTTCTTCTGTTCATACACACCGTTAATACATATGAAGTCTTCACAAATTCAGCATTATGATAAGTAAATTTAGAGGTATACAACTACCATACATATATTTAATGTAAATTTTGGTATATAATATGTATTGTTCCACGTTACCATATCATATCAATACAGTGAGATATTAGAGTACGATAAGAAGAAATAGTATTCGTGATAGAAGAAAAAATTAGGCATAGATAATATGATTCGAAAAGAAAATATGGATTCGTTGGATAAATAATTGAAGATTTCTATGAAATTTAGAAGTTAGGGCAAGACAAAGAGTGAATGTACACACATCATTGCTAATGATTCCTAGTCATGTTACCCGTAATCTCTAATTGCGCAAACCTCAGCCAAGGAATCTCCACCTATTTACACAACTTAGTTCAGTAATCAATAACTCTATGGCCTGATCTTACGTTTGGATTTGAATGTTAAAACTCATAAGTCACTAGTAGACTGAGCAATAAAGATGTAAATGAAATGGACATTGTGACAGGTAACACGATTGAAGGTACTAGAAACGATTAAAGGATAACTAGATAGACAGAAAGACACACCAACATAATAGCCCGAATAAACATGTACTAACTCAAGCTGTCACCACTTATTAATAGCATATAAATAACATTATAAATTATAGAATGACAGAAAGATAACCATTAACAATGTTAGAATAAAACAAACGACAAAATATTCAGATTCACTTCAGTAAACTCATATCTTACGTGTCGTAATATTAATACATTGTCAAAGTAGACTATGATCGATGAGAAGGCTTGTTATAGAAATAAGAATTCATTTTCTTGAGTGGATCTTATTTCTTTTTAATTCGATTTGAAATGAATTGAATTACCCTATAGTTGCTATCTATTTTTAAATGAAATTCGATCAGTCTTAGTTGGCATATGAGCATCTCGTGAGGATTGGCCTGATATACTCCATTAAGATACAAAATGATATAGAATAGATGGAATGTGACTGACATTGGGAAACTAGGAGGCACGTTTCATCTAATTTGGAATTCATCAAATGGATGTACGTGCATCCCAAAGTTGATATTCTAGCCGGAACTCGAACCCAGTACCGTTCGCTTCAAACGCCATTGTATTATCTACATAGCACGTTTTGGTTTCCACTGTCAGCCATATTCCATCTATTCTACATATAACTACTGCTTTATGTTGTACTTAAAATTATCAAGAGTAAGATGAATGAGGTACATTTATTTGAATAATGTCTTACCGTAGAATAAAAGCTGTTTGACGAATATTTGTAGTAATTTCTTTATTAGCATCGAAACGACCAATTAAACGACGTGTACATTCTGCGTTTAAAGCTCGTGATACTAACGATCCATATGAAATATGAAGCTAAATGAAATAGAAAACAAAATAAAATACCGATGAGAAAATAGAATGAAAATCATCATTATGAGACTGTATGAGAAATTTATGACATGTGATATATACTGATAGATAAATTGTTGATTGAATTATTTGAATATAATATACGTTTTGTTGTATTCAAGGATAGTATTTTTATTATTTTTAGTTGGATGTACCTGGATGTTGAGAGCAGTACAAATGCATTCAATAATTAGTATGTTCTACCTTAGACTAATCGATCATGATTATCGTCAAATTACTCATTAAAAATAAACAGATAATAGAATAAACACACTCATTATCAAGTCTGATGAACGATAGTTTTATCATTTTGTAGATATATACAATTATAGAGCTTAGGCTAAAGAAGAATATAGTTACAGATTACCGCTTTCCATGTTAACTAAGCACTGTTCTATGATGAGCAGATAATATGATCTAAGGGGATCATGTAAAAATCTAATATCAATGAATGAAAGCTTTTGGTTAGCACCCAGAACTGTATCGGAAAGTATATACTGTTTTATGAAACTGAAAGAGTTTTTTAAAAGGACCCAGAAGTGTAGTTCGGGATAACATGTTTATTATGAGACTTAATGACTTAAATGTAACTAATATATAGCGAATCATTTAAGTAAACCTTTATTATCTTCTTACACAATATCAACCGAAAAAGAGGCATAGACTACTGACACCATTATTTAGGTTTATCACTTCTAACTAATACTTCCACCATTTTAAATGATTGATTTACTACACTACTTATCTTCTAATAATGAAATGGTGGCTTAATGGCTAAAGTGATCGAATTTTAACTAATAAGCCCCACTATTGAACTCGCCCTACCTACTTCGGTTAAAGGAACTGGGTGGTACCACTAGCCCTCACACATAGAGTGTGGCTTATATTCGGGTACCTACTTGGAGAACGAGTTCATATAATTTTAATTTAATATTATCTCATAAACTTAGTCGTCAATAGTGTAACCACAAAATAACGACGAATACGGTCCGAAATGTTTAACTTTTAGTGAGTACGTGGTTATAATAAATTATCATTGTCATACCATTGTTTAAGTCAACTGGTAACGCTTAAGCTACGGAATACAACAACTCACAAGACTACAGACCCATACAAAATGGAGAGGTAGGTTAATGGTCAAAGCAACTAGCTTTCAACTAATAGGTCGCATTTGTGAAGGTTGTTCCACCTACCTTGGCTCTCCATAATCAAAAAATATCACATAACTGGTGTACTTTGGGGTCGAATTTTTATTTGATAAATACCCTACAGGAGTTATATAGGGAGAACATACTTTGTTCCTGATATATCTGAAGCGTTACGAATTCACTAGTAACGAACGGAACAAAGACACGTGACCAGAGACCGATAACTAGCTATACTGACGCGACCCAGACCCAGCTAACTAGAGTAAGAAGTCCAAGTTGGAGCGGGGAAGTTATATTCCGTAGCAGCCAGAAGCACAGTAATCAAATAAGGAAAAAGTCAAGCGTATTTATATAGTAACGAAATGTCCTTGGGCACCGTTAATAATTAGCACACACAAAGAAACAATGGACCAATAGCATTTAAGATAGTTACAAGTGGGAAATACGATGTGAAGGTAATAAGAGCACGTTTTGGCGCGAAAACAGTTAAATTCAAATTTACAAAATTGAGCCACTTATCACGTAAGTTCTGGGGATTTGACATCCCCAACAGTTCCCTTTATAGTCGAGAGGGTCAGAATAAGAAATGACATTAATCTACTAAGTTATTTGTTATAAAATTGAACAGATTGCGGAAACTTTCTAGTTGAAATTCCCAAAATATAACGAATAATTCACTCATTTTGAAGAATCATAGTCTTATGTCAAACGTTCCATCACAAGTGATTTTATCATTTTGATAGTTTTTCTTTTCCACCTGTCATGTAAACGTGATATACACCAACTACGACAGATCCACATTTGTTCCAATTCCTAGACAGGATAGTAGATTATTGGATCCGTAGTTAAGCTTTTCGACTCTCAGACATCAAGTCTCAAGTTAGAACATGCTTGACCTACTTCAATCTAGGCAAACGAATAATAACTGTACTAGCCCTCACAATTAGAATGTAGCTTCAAGCTTCAAGATCTATCAACATATATGTTATGTTTAAATGTTACTGTCAATGGAGCTATTAGCATTCAAATGAACAAGAGAATGACTTAAAACATAATGAACATTATGTCTTCCAGTCTAAACAAGATTTCATTTACAAAAGGCATAGCTTAAAATTTGCTAAATAAAGATGTAACTAATTCTTAAGTGACATTTAATCCACATGTATGTCAATTATCTATCTAACACATAAATATTGGTGCAAGGGGGGCACCAGATATATACGCTCCACATAAAACAACGAAAATGGGAAGAGAAAGGGGTAAGATCCATATAAAAAAGTAATGGTGAGGGAAACTGAAATGTACAACCAGAAGAACTCTCTCAGTTAAGAAAGTTATAACCACTCTTTATGCAGAAAGTAAAAGAAGGTTGCAGCAGGATCGCCATTGGCTTCTATTCTGAGCCATATCTGATAACGTCTCTAGCCACTGTTTTGGACCATCTCTGGGACCCCAACTAGGGAGTCGTGAAGGACCAACAGAAGCCAGTCCTTTACAGCTTTCTTTCATACCACGACACCATATCATACACTGATCACCTCTCCGCTTTTTCCAACCAGTCCCAGAGTCGGCAAATAATGCACGATGTGGAATTCTCTGGGACAACATTCGTAAAATATGTCCAAGCCACTGATGTATGCCCATTGATAGATTCGAAAGAATAAATGTAATTTAGGTATTTAACATTTTGTTATTATTGTTGTTATGAAGAAGATATCAATGATACTGATTGATTTCAAGGTTATTTGGTACCATTTCTAAACAATTGATCATGTGAAATTTTAAAGACTATTCATAGAAACATAAAGAATGTAAGAAAATTTCAGCTTAACAACAATTGAAATGTAGATGGGTAAGTTAGAAATGAAGTACAGTGTTTGCAAACATATATTGAAGTAATACTATTTTGGCTTGTTTAAACTGGTTTTATTATTTTCTTTTATAAAATTACAAAACTTATCCATTAATGAAATGTACTGTTAATGTAATAGTATGTTGTAGCAAAACAATAGACTAAGAATTTAGTATAAAATACAAGCTAATTAAATAAACTATGGTATAATAAAATCTCAGGTTGAATAAAAATTTCTCAAAACAAAAGAACTAGATTAATATCATGAATGGATCAATATTAGACAACCATTAAAAACCTGGAAGCACTGGACGGCCATTTCGTCGATGCGCACTGCTGAGTCCCACATTATAATGAAATGGATGTCTAGTGCTTCCAGGTTTTCAATGATGGCCTAACATTGATCGATTTATGATTCTAAAGGAATTCAATAACCTTCACAACTACATACTGATAAATTACATAAACTGTACTAACAGCCAAAAACTTCATACCTTCAGTTAACCAGGTTTGATCTTTTTAAAACCCACTTTTTAAGGTATACATTGAAGAGAGAACAATAGTTGAATAGGTAGAAACGAAGTTCAAGAAAGCTCATCATATATTCAAGTAAAAAGAATGATATCATTTTTCTACAGTTTAATTTGGTTTGTGCCCAGAATTGCAGAATTCCAAGGTAAAATCAATAACAAGAAAAAACTTATTTTTATTACAATTGCAAATTTCTGCAATCGATGTTGAGAGCTACACCTTCAAAGTGTCCGAGATAGTAATGCTGTCTAACTGCTTAAACTAATGTGAGCGAAACAGGTTTGGTTGAAAGTCTAGTCAGTCAGCTGTAATCAACTCAAAACCTGAGACATATGTGGATTCAATCACTCATACAACGTCAACACGACAATATGAAATTAGCATGACGAATGGAGTGAAGAAATTGAGAGGATGTAGCACCATTGATAATGAAAGATAAACTTAATATCGAGAATATGATTTGAAAAGATGTAATAAGAAAGAAGAATAGTGAATATAATTGGGTCATTGTGTATGATTCCAAACTATGTCAGCTAACGTTTCTAAACACAAATTGTAATTATCTCTCCGACATCAACCACGTAGGTTGTCTGCATTCATGATCAGCACTCAGACCAACAGTCAATAACTTCACAGACTATTGTCACCATTTTATGCCATGATTCCCAACAGTTGCTGCTACATTGACGTGGTGGTTAGGCTTGTCTATCGTGATGAACCAATCGAGCTATACTAGCTGGAACAATCGTTCCTAAAGGTCCTACTATGCCAGACAGGTCGGTTGAAGAGCGGTGAGACTAAAAGCAGCAAACCAAAGGTCCGAAGGCGAAGTCGTACTGCCGACTGTACAGAGGTGTGACGGTAGTAGGGTGTTTCCTTAAGACAACCAGCATGACAACGATGCTGCCTTCCCACAAGGAGGGGTGGGGTTAGAATAGATCGACCCTAAAAATGCACACCTCGCCTTATCCCACGGATTTCCATCTACGGCGGTAAGGCCCTTGGAATAACGGAGCTAACACGTCAAAAATCCCCCACAAAAAGGTCGTGCGTGACCGGCCTCAAACAGTTGTTTCTTGCACTCTGCGGTTACGCTCCCAGGTCGTTAATACCAACACTAATCCAACTTGCTTTTCAGGTCCCTCAAGAAATACCCTTCCACGGTGTGGGCAGCCAGGAATTAGCCCTCACACCCGTAACAGCACACGAGACCCAGTCGGTCACATTCCAATCCAATACCATGATTACTGAACATCTCAACAGCTAAGGCTAACGCTCCATCAAAATGAGATCATCAAAAAATTACAATTCATAGTTAACACAATGAAATACCTTAAAAATGATCTTAATAATGGATAATACAATTAATTCTAATCTTATTGAATTCCATGGATATATTGTAAAGTTTTATTTTGCAATGAACTATATCAAAA